GGGCAGGTGAGTGGGCAAAGTAGGCTGAGCTGGCAGGGAGCAGGAAGCTCGGGCCCACCCTACAGTGATCATGCGGTTCAGGGCAGCCTCCAGACAGACCTTCCAGAAAGCTACCAGCTCCCCTGACCTGAATGCCACAGGACACTCACACTCCCGAGTGAATACTCTGTGGTCCAGCAGTTGAAGCCAAGATGATCTGCCATAACCGAAAGTGTGGACAGTGACAGGCAGAACCAGGGCCATCTTACCACCCCGAGGGCCCCTTCATCAATCCTTCTCTCCCTCCCAGCCTCGATGTCCCCCTTCCTATACTAGCAGGAAGGTGGGCATGGTATTTCTATTGTGACTCTGCCCTGTCTCTGCCTCCAGATCGGGGCTGTGACAAGACCCACTCTCGGGTGACCCTGCAGGAATGGAATGACCCACTGGACCATGACCTTGATGCGCAGCTCATCTACAGACACCTACTAGGTGTGGAGGATGCACTTCGGTGAGGAGGCTCATGGAAAGGCAGCTGCATAGTCCTGGGAATGTGGCAGCTCCGGGCTGCCACCCTGACTGGACCTGAGGGTTGCTAAGCAACGGCCGCTCCTGCCTTTTGTTTCGGTTTTCCTGTTAGCCTTTGATTCCATGTTTGTGTTTCTGCACGGGTGGGTGTGCACGTGTGTGTAGAGGCCACATGACAGCCTTGGGTGTTATTCCTCGAGTGCTGTCCACTTTCTCAGATTTCAGTCCGTGTCCGTCCCCCCTTCCCAGATCCCCCCCCCCCCAGACAGGGTTTCTCTGTGTAGTTTTGGTGCCTGTCCTGGATCTCGCTCTGTAGACCAGGCTGGCCTTGAACTCAGAGATCCTCCTGGCTCTGCCTCCCGAGTGCTGGAATTGAAGGTGTGCACCACTGCCACCTGGCCTAATTTTTTCAATTAAAAAAAAATTTACTTTTATATAAGTATGGTGTGCATGCGTTTAATCCCAGCACTTGGGAGGCAGAGGTAGGATTTCTGAGTTGGAGGCCAACCTCTCAAACAAACAAAACATATTTATTTTTATTTTCATGTGTGTATGACTCTGCATGCCACATGTGTGCAGGTGCCCGAGGAGGCCAGAAGGGGGCGTCCGATCTCCTGGAGCTGAGTTTTAGGTGTTTGTGAGCCATCTGATATGGGTGCTAGGAATACAACTCAGAGCCTCTGTAAGAGAAGTACATGCTTTTAATCACTGAGACGTCTCTCCAGCCTCCTCCTGTGTTTGTATTTCTGTGACAAGCTGTCTCTGATTAGTCTTGAGCTCACTGCTTAGACAAGATTGACTGCCCAGCATTCCCACCCATCTTCACTTCTCCAGCTCTGGGATTACAAGCGTGCACTACCATGCCTGGCTCTTTTACATGGATTTTTTTTATATGGGTCAAACTAGGATCCTCATGCTTGCAAGGCAAACATTTACCCACTGAGCTAGCTCCCTGGTCCTCAGAGTTTTGCAATGTATCCCAGGATCGATTTGAACTTGTGATCCTCCTGTCTCAGGCTCTCAAGTAGCCGACAGGCCTGCATGGACACACCCAGCTTGGTCATGTCTTTTATTATTGTTTTTTGTGTGTAATCGGTACATGGGAGCATGTGCTTCTACATCATACACATGGAGTTAGGCCAACTTTGAGGAGTCGGTTCTCTCCTTCCACTTTTATGTGGGTCTCGGGGATTGAACTTGGGTCCTTGGGCTTGTGCAGCAAGCTCCTTTACTTGCTGAGCCATCTTGCTGGCCCTGCATTACCTCTCTTGATGAGGCCAAGCACCTTCCCATTGCCTTTCTGAAGCATAAGGTCATCTCCTATTAGAGTGCTAGGGGTCATGGGCATGACTGCTTCCTGTGCCATTTTGACCCCATCTCTCCATCCACCGAGCCTTCCCGAGATGGCATCAGAACACTCGCTTTGCCTTCAGCATTTTTAGACTTGACTATAAACCTTAGAAAACACCAGGATGCAAGCTTTTGGTTTTTGTTGTTGTTTGTTTTTCTTTCTTTTTTTTTTTTTGTTTTTTTTTTGTTTTTCGAGACAGGGTTTCTCTGTGTAGTTTTGGTGCCTTTCCTGGATCTCGCTCTGTAGACCAGGCTGGCCTTGAACTCACAGAGATCCGCTTGGCTCTGCCTCCCGAGTGCTGGGATTAAAGGCGTGCGCCACCACTGCCCGGCTTCTTTCTTTCTTTCTTTTCTTTCTTTCTTTCTTTCTCTTTCTTCCTTCCTTCCTTCCTTCCTTCCTTCCTTCCTTCCTTCCTTCCTTCCTTCCTTCCTTTTGGTTTTTCAAGACAGGGTTTCTCTGTGTAACAGCCTTGGTTGTCCTAGAACTCAGTCTGTAGACCAGGCTGGCCCTGAACTATCAGAGATCTGCCTGCCTCTGCCTCCCGAGTGCCACCACCGCCTAGCTTGTTTTGTTTTTCAAGACAAGGTTTCTCTGTGTAGTCCTGGCTGTCTTGGAACTAGCTCTGTAGACCAGACCAGGCTGGCCTCGAACTCAAGAGATCCACCTGCCTCTGGGCGTGTGCCACCACTGCCCGGCTCCAGGATACTTTCTAAAACGACTTTGCAAAACAGGGAGTCTGGGCCCCATCAGCTTTGAACCACTGGGCGAGACAGGCTGGAGGATGCCCTGAGGCCATCTTGGCTCTCTAGAGCCTTCTCCTGGGCTACACAAATGTCTGTCTGTACACAACATTCTGGACCTCAGGCAGGGATTCAAAGGTCCTTCTTGGTACTCAGTGATTTTTCCAGGGTTGTGGTCTTCTCTCAAAGCCTGGGCAGGGCAGGACAGGGCAGTAGTGGTGCGTGCCTTTAATCCCAGCATTTGGGAGGCAGAGGCAGGCGGATCTCTGTGAGTTCGAGTCTAGCCTGGTCTACTGAGAGAGTTCCAGGATAGGCTCCAAAGCTATACAGAGAAACCCTGTCTCGCCTCGAAAAACAAAACAAAACAAATAAACAAAAAACCCTAGGCAAGAGACATGGCTCAGCAGTTAAGAGCATCGACCCAAAATGGCTCACAACCATCTGTGACTCCAGTTCCACAAGGATCTGACACCCTCTCCTGGCCTCTGTGGGTACCTGGCATGCATGTGGTGACAGACATGCACATGCATACAGACAAACACTTATATGCATAAAATAATAAGTTTTTGAATTTTTTTAAAAAGCTGAGCATGATGGTGCATGCCTTTAACTTGGGAGGCAAAGGCACATGGATCTTGGAGTTTAAGGCTAACCTGGCTCTACAGAGCCAGTTCCAGGACAGCCAGAGCTACACAGAGAAACCCTGTCTCAAAAACAAAAACCAAACAAACCGAGCTGGGCACAGTGCTCATGCCTAAAATCCCAGCCTCCCAGAGCAGGAAGCAGGAGGATCAGCAAGCGGTTCAAGGCTTTTCTCTGTTACACAGTGAGTTGAAGACCAGCCTGGGCCCCCTAAGACCCCGTCTCAGAAACCAAAACAGCTAAGTGTGGTGGCACATGCTTTTAATCCCAGCCCTCGAAAGGTAGAGGGATTTCAGGCATGGTCTACTTAGTGAGACCCCCCCTATCAAAAACAAAATCCACAAAAAACAAGGACAATAAAATAAAACCAAAAACCACCTATCAAAATGACCAGGGAGTGTAGCACAGCATTAGAATGATTGTCCAGCTCAAATAAGACTAGGTTCTGTCTTTCCAGCCCCACCCCTAAATTCCTCCCATAACCTGCTGGTCGGAACTTCGGGGCCCAGTTGACTGATTTCCCATAGGCCTGCAGAACCAGAGTGACGGCTTGGCTTGGCTTGCCGTTGGCCTTCTGGCCAGGCATGGCTCTCATACCTGTACCCCTAGACAGGAGTATTGCAATTGCAAGGTCAGGCTTGGTGGTATCGTGAGAACAGCTCTGAAGGTGGGGGGTTGGGGGGCTTCCGGCCTCTCTGTATTCGAAGGGTGGGCTGCAGAGGAAGATGGCTGGTGGGGGAAAAGTGAAAGCCGGGCCCATGTTTATTCCTTGTGGCCTGAAGGCATCTGCCTGTACCCCACTTCCAGTTCAGGGAGCCCACGTGACATCTCTAGCCTTCCCAGCAAGGTAGGTGTGGCTGCTGGTCCTCACTCGGCCTTCCTCTGCAGGGAGAAGCACCAGCTACTGTGGGGCAAAGCAGAAGCAAACTCACCCACAGGCCGTGGTGGAGGTAGGCCCCTCCTATCTGGGACTCAGGCTTGGTGGCCTCGGCTGCCTCCAGGGACACATGGGTGGGGCTGTGTGACCTTTGAAGCCATACCCGCCCTCCCCACAATGTTTCTGCATCTAGCTCCCCAGGACCCGCTGGCCCAGCTGCTTCGTGTGCTCCAAGACCTCCGAGAAGCCCACAGCTCCAGCCTGGCTGGCCCACCACCCAGAGAACCCCATCACCTTCTAGAGCTACAGACGTGAGGTGTACACCGAGGCCCCCGAAAGGCGTTTGGAGATCCCTGACACGCTCAGGACCCTTGTCGCAGCCATCTCTTCTGGGGAGGGCCGTAGCCCAACGCGGTCTTCTCCCTGTCCCGTGGGGGACCACGGTGGCACCTGCTTCTTTGGGAGACCCGACTGCTCTGTAGTCCTCGTGGCCCAGATTCTTCACCCATGCCAGACCCAACCCTAGGAAGCTTGGAACCCAGGAGCCCAGGTTGTCCACTTTTCACTTGCCAACCATCAGTCACCTCACCCCACCTCACCCCTGCCGCTGGCTGACCCTCTGGGTTGACTGTCCTGGTGCTCTGTCACTAATAAACCTGCCGTGACTGCTGAGGCTCTGAGGTGTTGGGATGAGGTCCAGAGAAAAGTGAATCCAGGGGACCCTTGGTGGGACTTGGGGTTTGACCGAGGACTGGGGTCCCCAGCATGGCCTCTCTGCGGTCCCTTCTCTCGTTTTCTGTTCCATATTACCTAGGGCCATGCCTGTTTCAGCTCGCAACTTGTCGCGTCCGCCTCGACCAGCAAGGAAGACGCAACACCAGGCTCTTCTCCAAACAGTTTATTTAGGAACCTTGAACAATCTTCTGACCCCGGGGAAAGCCATCTTCTGACTCCCGGGAAAGCCAGCCCACGCCCTTTATAGCCACTGGGCAACCAACCCCGTAGTGCCACGTGGACAATGCCGATAGGGTCAGACATACGCAAGCAAGCCAGATTCCACGCCCAAGCCAAATAAGGAGTTGTTTATCCCAGAGAACACCTGCCATCGGGAAGGCGGAAGCCGGACGCCGGCTACACCCTCCACCCGCCTTCATAGGGCTGTGTGGATTATGATGCCTATCTGCTGATGAACTTCCCGAGGCATCCAAATTAAAAAAATTTAAGGTGAATAATGCCAGAGAGAGTCTTTCTCTTGGGGTTTGGTCACGGCCTATTCCCCCTTTTTGTTTTTGAAGAATTTCTTTGAGGGACCGATGCGCACGCTCCACAATGCCTTGGCCTTAACTACTTGGCGCGCATCCACACGGGAAAGAGAAAATTTAGCCTGCAACGATCCCAATAAGCCATTCACGATCCCAATAAGACCTCTTATGGTGGTGGAGGATCTTCCTATCAATAAACCCACCGTGCCCGGCTTCAAAGGGCCTTTAAAATCAGACTCCACTAATTGTACTCCCATCTGCGGAGTCAGTAATTTTAAACCGCACCGTTTTCGCTGTTAGCTCAGGTTTTTCTGTGTTGCGTTGATTTTCCACAGATCTCAGCTGCAAATGCCTTGTTGTGCTGGCTCTGGCATCCATCATTCTTAGCTTCTTAGTGGCTTCTGAAACTTTTGAAACCATTCAGACTGCCTACTTTGCAGTCTACTGGGACACTAACCTTCTGTGTCTCAGGTTCTTTCACCACATACATTAAGCTTAGATTCACAATCAACATTTACACCTTTTCACAAACTCACATATAACATGTGCTTAAGCCTAAACTCACACTCAACATTTACACATTTTTACAAACTCACATATAACATTTTAACATCTACTTATTTATACTGTTTAATGAAACTATAGAAGTTACCTTTTCCTTGAGGGCAGCTACGTTTGAGATGGCCCATTTTTCCACACCGAAAACATGCCCCAGTGTTCCCTCCTTTCTTGTTACTAAGTTGCATAACTGCAGCCGCAAGGCCTGCGTTAGTTAGAGGTCCCCCTAATTCTCTGCAACACTTTCATCCATACTTCTAGACCTTTGTTCTTATAAGGGGTGATCGCAGCCTTGCATTCTTTGGTACATTGTTCATAAACTAGCTGCTTTATAAGCGGCATCGCGGCATCTGGGTCCCCAAAGATTCTGCCTGCAGCCTCGACCATGCGGGCCACAAAATCTGAAAAAGGTTCCATAGGTCCCTGAAGGATCTTCGTAAGGTTGCCGCTCACTTCCCCTTTATTAGGTAGGGACTTCCATGCCCTTGTTGCTAGTTGATTTATCTGGTCATAAACCTGCTGTGGATATCCATTTTGTTGATTGGCAAACTGGCCTTGTCCCAGCAGCATGTCTACATCCCAAGCTGCTTGACCTCCACCTGCAGCCCTGTTAATCGCAGCTTGTTCACTGGCAAATTCTATCAAAAATGCCTTCCAGTCTAAATACTGCCCTGCGCTGAGACATGCTCGAGCAAGATTCATCCAATCGGATGGAGTCATGCAAAATCTGTGCAGAGCCTCCACTTGAGCAACAGTATATGAGGCTGTGATGCCATAAGTCCGGACAGATTCCGCTAGAGACTTGATGACCTTAAAATCCAAAGGTTCATGGTATCTCTGTTGAGTCTGGGCATTGAGAAACATTGGGCAAGCTAGCTGCATTTCAGTTCTAACCTGTCTCCAAACCTCCGGTTAAAAGAATTCCCCATAGAGACAACTCTAGACATGGAGGCAGATTCCAGATATGGTGGAGGAGCTGAGGGAGTGGCTCCACACTCAGACTCACATCCTTTAATTCTTTCTCTTTCTCCTTTATTTCTACCCCTTTTCTTTCTTATTCTCATGCTCTGCAAGGTTTCACATAATGACTCTGCATCATCAGAATCAGGGGAAGAGATAGGGGACTCGGAACACTCTAGGTCCGAAAGGTCAGGATATAACCTTGTTTTTTCTTCCTCCTTTTTTGTTTTACTTCTGGTAGACGCTGCTTTAGCAGACATGGCCTTTTCTGATCTTTCCTCCTGCAACATTACTAAGGCTGCCTGCCCATTCTCTACCGCATGGCTGCAGCGCTGGTCTTCGAGACACCCTCTCACTAATTTCCAAACTGGTCTAACCCCATGTTTAAGCGTCCCTTGTTCTGCAGCGAAGTCTAGATCACGGCCCAACTTTTCCCAGGAAACTACCGTGAGGCTTCCGGAAACTGCAAACCAGGGTGCCACAACATCACATTCCTCTAGAAATCTTTCTAAAGTACTCTTCTTAATCTCTAATTTCTTTGAAAGGAGCAGCTCGTTAAGAGCCAGAAAAATTGGGTGCGAAGAAGTTGCGCCCATGATACTAGCAGCACTTTTGCCTTCACCTGCTTTCACTTTCTTTAATTTCCCCGTCCGCTTTTGTCACGGCTCTACTTTTTAATTTTCCCATCCGCTTTTGTCGTGGCTCTACTCTTTAATTTTCCCGTCCGCTTTTGTCGCGGCTCTACGTTTTAATTTTCCCATCTGCTTTTGTCGCGGCTCTACTTAATTTTCCCACTTTTGTCGCGGACCCCCACCTTACCTGGGGACTTACCAGTGCACTGCCCTGACTGCGAAGAGTTCTGAGCCTTAAAGGTTCCCCGTACGGGCCACCACTTGTCGCGTCCGCCTCGACCAGCAAGGAAGACGCAACACCGGGCTCTTCTCCAAGCAGTTTATTTAGGAACCTTGAACAATCTTCTGACCCCGGGGAAAGCCATCTTCTGACTCCCGGGAAAGCCAGCCCACGCCCTTTATAGCCACTGGGCAACCAACCCCGTAGTGCCACGTGGACAATGCCGATAGGGTCAGACATACGCAAGCAAGCCAGATTCCACGCCCAAGCCATATAAGGAGTTGTTTATCCCAGAGAACGCCTGCCATCGGGAAGGCAGAAGCCATCTTTGAGGCGCGGCCGTGCACGGCTCTCTACACCAACTGCTGTCCCAACACTCCTCTCCACACCCCTCCATTCTGGGAGCTTGGAGCCTGATAGCTCTTTCCAGCCCCCACACAAAGCCCCTTTGTTTGGGGTGTCCTCCCAGACTATACAGCAGAGCTGGGCTACCACGTCCCTTTCTATCTGCTGTGGTGATGGACGCTTGGGATTGGGAATGGGGTGATTAGGATGTAAGTGGGTATCACTGATGTCACTTTCTTTCCTCATGAGACCCAGGCCACGTGTTGAGTTTCTGTGGCTGGAGCTCTCAGGTGGGCAGGGCCTTCATGCCATTGAAGAACGAGAAGCCCAGGAGGTGGTCATCTAAACTAGCCGTTCTCAACCTATGGGTCACAAGCCTTCAGGGGTTAAATGGCTTTCACAGGGGCCGCCTAAGACCATCGGAAATATCCGATATTTACGTTACAATTCATGTAATTATTGTAGCAAAATTACAATGGAATTTAGCAATGGAAATAATTCTATTGTTGGGGATCCCCATGACACAAGGAACTGTGTTAAAGGGTTGCAGCATCTGGAAGGCGGTTGAGAACCACTGTTCTAGCCACACTCAGCCAACATCTTCCCTCCGAGATGTCCCTAACTGAAAAGCGTCTCCACAGCAGCGCCCCCTGGCTGCAGTTCCGCTCCTACCACAGAGGGAAGAATAGATGGCATTCAGCTCCCAAGTGGTGTATCGCTCGTGTGTGTGTGTGTGTGTGTGTGTGTGTGTGTGTGTGTGTGTGTGTATTATTTATATATATATATATATATAAAATCTTTTTTTTTTCTGGAAGAGTTAAGACAGGGTTTTTCATATAGCCAGGAGAGCCTCAAACTTGTTATATAGCCAAGGATAACTTTGAACTCCTGATCTTCCAGCCTCCACCCCGCCAAGTGCTGGGATTACAGGTGTGAGCCATGCAGAGCTGGGCATTAAACCTAGTGCTCCCTCCCTGTGTGCTCAGCAAGCAAGCTACCAACGGATCCACATCTCTGGCCCCTTTATTTTGAGGCAATGTCTCATGTCATCCAGGCTGGCCTCAAACTCAACTGCCCAGCTGAGGATGAACTCCTGATCCTCTTGACGCCATCCCCAAAGCCACCATGCCTGAATTCAAAGGGTATGCTCAAAATCGCACTCGGGCTGGCGGTGAAGTTCCGTGGTGGGACACTTGCCTGGCATACATAAGGCCCCGGGTTCCATCCCCAGGGTCATAAACAGTTCAGCCAACACAAACAATAATCAAGCGGTACTGGTCACGGCGTGGTCTGGTTTCTCATTTTCTCAGCCGTTTTGTGGGACGGTCTGAAGAAATCCTTATTGCTTGAAAGGTCAAGCTCCTTCCCATGAGATGACTCCTCTTACTCATGGGGTGATCTGTCTTCAAGGCTCTGCTGTTCCTAGAATGGAAGGTGACTACAAGCTTTGGGCTGTGACTGGAGAACCTTGGATGGCCTCCTCCTCTTTCTACCTCCTCCTCCTCCTCTTCTGAGTTTGAAAGGAGACATACAAGCCGAGCAAGACGCCTGCATTATCTTCGGACCTTCAGCCTTGAAGGTGGATGAGCTGGGCTAGGGATCACCGGTTCTTAGATACTCTGGAAATAACATGCCGATGTGCAGAGGCAAGGGAGAGCGTGGCGCAGTGTGTGAAGGGCTCCAAAGCCCTCTGGCACCTGACATCGTCTTCACGTGTTTCCGGAGGCATCCATGCGATACAGTGATTCTTTAGTGTTCGCATACCAGTGGATAGGCTGACTCCTGCCTGTGATCCCAACGACTGGGAGACTGTATCAGTTACTGTTCTTATTGCTGGGTCTACAAACATCACAGAAGCATCTTAGGGAAGGGTATAGTTCATCATGGTGGGGATCAGCCGGGCAGCTGGTCACATTGCCATCTGCAGCCAGGAAACAGAATGAGATGGTTTACTTCTTTTATTCAGTCTGAGACCCTAGCCTCTAGGATGGAGCCACACACATTAATAGTAAGTCTTTCTTCTTCGGTTAAACCTGTCTAGAACCTCACAGACACACCCAGTGGTATTTTTTTTAATTATACATTGTGTGCGTCCAGATGTCCAGATCCACCACACAGGGACGTCAGAGCGGTTGGTTCCCAACTTCCACCACATGACATGGTCCTGGGGACTGAACCCAGGCAGTCAGGCTTGGTGACACTACCTTTACTCAACTGGGCTGTCTTGCTGGCCCGACCTAGAGATTTGCTTCCACGATGATTTTGACAAGATGAACCATCACGGAGGCTGGAGAAATGGCTCAGCAGTTAAGAGCCTTACTGCTCTTTCAGGGTAATAGGTTTTCTGTGCCCCGATAATGGGTTTCTCTGCCAACACAGTAAGCCAGATCAAACTGAGCTGAAAGAGTTAAAGAACAGGTTTATCTGAGCAAAACAAGTCCCTGGTGAGCCCCCGGCCCCAAATATCAAGGGCAGAGAAGTCACACGGCCAAGGTTAAGCAGGGAGCTTGTATACCCTGAAGGAGAGGGGTGATGATGTGTCTTCCACAAGCTGGGTTTGTGCCCAAGTATAGTCAAAAACTGAACGCTATAGGTTGGATCTTTGACTACCGGCAACTTTAGGAGAGGAGATGCCACAGCCACCAAGAATTCGGAACTGGGCTTTTTGGTGCCTTTTTTTGTTGTTGTTGAAGATTCTCTGAGAGGGTGGGGTTTGGAGAGAGAGGAATGGGGCTTTCCGGATCGAGCAGGAGTGTGTGTGTGGGGGGTGGGGGGGTGTTTCCAGCCGAACACAGGGGACTAGAGTTAGGTTCCCAGAACCCACTTTGGATGGTTCACAGCCACCTGTAATCTGTAACTCCAGCTCCAAGGGACCCAACCCTCTTCTGGTCTCCAAAGGCACCTGCATACACGTGCCACACAGACAGGCAAACAGAAATCTTTAAAAATAGGAAAAACGGAAGACACTAACTGCCACCAGAGATCGCCGAGAAAATGGGAGAGGCGCCAGGCTTTCATCATGCTTTTAGTTACCCGTGTGCTCAAGAGAGGATCCACTGGCACCCCAACCCCCCGCCCCCCCACACACACCTTGACACACCTTCCTGCTCCCCTGGTCCTCATCCAGCACACTCCACAAGGACCCAGCTGGGGGTCCTGCAGCAGCAGCCCACACAGGTGACTTTACGCACACAGCTCCGACTCCAGCACCTTCCCGGTGCTGGAACAAGGCGCCAAATCGTGGCCGGGTGAAAGCGGCGTAGGGCACTCCGAGACTGACGCGTGCGCACAGCTCGCGGTCTCCGCCGGCCTTGCCCGCGTGCGCCCGCGGAAGGTCATCCGGTCCACCAGGGGGCGCGCAGCCAGCCGCTTACCCTGATGAGCAACCGCGTCTGCGTGACCCGGAAGTGGTCGCGCTCCGGGGCTCTGGGGGGTGACGGCGGCTGCGGGTTGGCGTCTAGGAGGCAGAGCGCGTCGCTAGGATGAACGCTCCTCCGGCCTTCGAGTCGTTCTTGCTCTTCGAGGGCGAGAAGAAGTAAGTGGAGGCCGACCGGGGGAGCCGAAGCCGAAGCGGGCTTGGCTTTGAGCATCTGCTCCGTCCGTGCGCGTCTGCCGAATTTCCGGCGACGGTGCGAGGCATGGGCGAGTGCACCCGTTTTGCAGTGGGAAACTGAGGCTCGGGGACATTGAGTCCCTTGCTCCAGACACTTCGGGAGTGGTTGGGACTGTATTCGAACCCAGAGTGCCAGGCTCCAAAGCCCTTTCCCTCTGGGCATTCTTTTCCCTGGTCTGCAAGACCGTCATTCAGGCTACTCAGCGATGGCTTTAGAGATCACATCCCACTGCGTAGGTGGCGAACGCCTGTGATACCAGCACTTGGCGACTGAGGCAGGGGGATCATGATGTGCAGCGGTGAAGGGACGGAGACACAGCTTCCTCCTCACACTCCTCAGCAGACTGAGGATTTCCCCTAGATTTTTAGGGATCCGGGCCAAACTCAGGTTCGTGACTTCCACGCTAAAAAGAATTTCAGGACGCTACGGTTTAATGAAGCAGAGTTGGTGATTTTTATTAAACATATATTTATATATATATTTTTTGAGACAGGGTTTCTCTGTGTTACCCTGTCCTGGAACTCTCTCTGTAGACCAGGCTGGCCTTGAACTCACAGAGATCTACCTGCCTCTGCCTCCCAAGTGCTGGAGTTGAAGGCGTGAGCTACTGTGCCCGGCTGCATGTAATTGTCCTAATGGTAGCCGGGCACACCCTTTTGATGACTCAGAAGTTCTATCTCAAAAGGTGGCTAAGAACCCTTCTTTCCTGAGTGCTCCCCTTTATATTTTATGTGCATTAGTGGTTTGCCTGCCTGTAAGTCTGTGTGAGGGTGTCAGGTCCCCTGGAACTGGAGTTACAGACAGTTGTGAGCTGCCATGTGGGTGCTGAGAATTGAACCTGGGTCCTTTTGGAAGAACAGTGCTCTTAACCACTGAGCAATCTCTCCAGCCCTGGGTGCCCGCCCCCCTTCTTGGAAGTCATCTTGGGCTAAAGTGAGTCCCTATGTAAAAAAAAATAAATAAATAAAAAATAAAAAATGCATAGAGGTACACCACAGTGGTAGATTACTTACCTAGCATGCACAGGGCTCATTTCATCCCCAAACCAGTCAGCCAGGCAATTAATAATGAAGCTCTTCAAGGAGAGTCTCTGAGTTTGTGCAGTGCACAGTGTATGCTGCAGTCCTGTAACTGACACCTCCCACTCCTGAGAGATTTCTATGCAGGGTGTTGTGTTCGACCTTTACTAGCTACTTCAGCCTCCCTTGAGGGCATATTCTCAACTGAAGGCCCTGTTGGTCCCCATCAGCAAGAGCATCTGGCCGTGTCTGGAAATATTTCTGGTCGTCCCAACGGGGTTGCTATTGGCATCTGGTGGGTAGAGGCCAAGGATGCTGTTAAGGACCTTGGTGTACTAGACAGCCTCTCAGAAAAGAACAGTTAGGTCTAAAATGTCCGTGTATCCAGCTGGCAAGATGGCTCAGGTACAGGCACCCACAGACTAGCCTAATGACTTGAGTTCAGTCCCCAGGACCAGTATGGTAGAAAGAACTGACAGTTTGCAGGATGTCGTCCACTGATTAGACACAGGTGTGGACAAAGGCAATACATGTTTGTGTATTATGTCTGAGAAACTCTGCTTTAGAAAAAAAAGCAATTCTCAGCTAGGTGGTGGTGCCACAAGCCTTTTAATCCCAGCACTCAGGAGGCAGAGGCAGATGGATCTCTGGGTTCGGGGCCAGCCTGGTCTGCAGAGCTAGTTCCAGTAGGAACTTTATACAGGGTAATCCTGTCTTGAAAAAAACAGGGAAAGAAAAAAGGAGCAATCCTGTGTGGAGGGTGGGGGTGGGGTCGGGTCCCTGGTGTATAGATGATGTATAGATAAGGGGCCATCATGGGGTAGAGAAGGTTCCTTTTTTTTTTTTTTTTTTTTGTCATGCTGAGGATTGAACCCAGGGTCTGGCCCATGCTGTGTTACTCTCTATCACTAAGCTACACTCCAGCTTTTTTGTTTTGTTTTGTTTTTCAAAACTGGGTTTCTCTCTGTTGCCCTGGCTGTCCTAAAACTTGCTCTGTAGTCCAGGCTAGCTTCAAAATCACAGATATCCTCCTGCCTCTGTCTCCAGAGTGCTGGGATTAAAGGTGTGCGCCACCATTGCCTGGCACTGCAATTGCCGGGCTCACTCCAGCTTTCCCCACGCCCTCACTTTCTTTAAATTTCTGGAGAGGCTGGGGAGATGGCTCCGTGTGTAATAGCTCAAAGCATTTGCTGAGGACTTGCGGGTGGATCTCCAGGACCCGTCTCAGAGCTGTGCTGAGTGTCTACATGTGCCAGCATGGTGTGCCCAGGGGCAAACGAGACCCTGCCTTAAGCAAGAGGATGACAGCGAGGCTTTTCTCAGGCCTCTGTCCCCAGTCCCTGGGATGACTGGTCTGAGCTATCAGGCCAGCCTAGCTTGCTTGTTTGGTTTGCACGGGGAAAGGTAGGGATGAAACCCAGAGCCTTACACATTCCAGGTAAATGGTGGATGACTGAGGCATGCCAGCGCTCTCCCGGGGTCCCTTAGGGGTGAGGAAACTGATTGAAAAGGCTTCCAAGGGCTAGGCCTGTAGCTCAGTGGTAGAGGGCTTGCTTAGCCTGCTTGAAGCCCTAGGTTCAATTCCTAGTACTGCAGGGGATAGCTGGACTTGCAGAATGATGGACTTGGGTCTGCCTTATATTGTTAGGGGGGTGGAGGCTAGGGATCTGGTTCTTTTTGTTTTTTTGAGGCAGGGTTTCTCTGTGTAGACCAGGCTGTCCTGGAACTAGAGATCTGTTTGCCTCTGCTCCCTGAGTGCTGGGATTAAAGGCGTGTGCTGCCACTCAGCTGTTTTTGTCTTCTAGGAATTTAGTCAAGAGCTAGTTGAAGGCAACGAATGCATGTGGGAAGAGTCAGGTGGTTTCTGGGGTGGTGGGAACAGCTGAACTGCAGTTTCAAGGATGTCAAACCCCAGGGGACATTGACTGGAGGATCAGCGCCAGCATCACAAAGGCTGGCTGTGGGCTTGGGAAAGCAGTCACCCTCAGTGTTTGCCTGTCTCTTTCTAGAATCACCATTAACAAGGACACTAAGGTGCCTAATGCTTGCTTGTTCACCATCAACAAAGAAGACCACACTCTGGGGAACATCATTAAATCGTAAGTCCCAGGCCAGAGGCCCTGGGGGCGGGGCTATAACTGGGCTCTGTTGGCTGAGTACACGGCATGGGACAGTGCCTTCTGGCTCTCCTCAGCTTGTGCTGACACATCAAATCAGGTACTTCTCCCAACCTGGCGCTGACAGGTCTGTTGACATGCGGCGGGCTTCTGCTTTTTGACAGTCTTGTGTAGTGTAGGCTGGCCTCAGACTGACTCATAAGAGAGGATGACCCGGTCAGGGACTCCTGATCCTCGTTTATACCTTCCAGTTGCTGGGATCCTGGCCAAGTAAGACCCATCAGCTTCATGCCGGCTTATTCATGTAGGATAAGACTTGGCAGGGAGCCCCAGCAGTCACCTCTTGGTCTTTTGGCTAAGATCAAGTTCAGGGCACTCCAGCAAAGCAGGTTTTCATTTTAATGGGCATCAAGAGGCCAAGGGGTGATGGGTATTGTGGCACACACCTGTACACCTATAATTCCAGCACTCGGAAGGCAGAGCTCTTGTGAGGGTCTACAGAGTGAGTTCCAGGACAGACAGGACTATACAGAGAAACCTTGTCTCAAAACACAAAATAAATGTATATAGAGTATAGTGTCTTAAGTAGGCCAGAAGAGGTTGTCCTGGAGCTGGAGTTATAGGCAGTTGTGAGCCACCCAGCAGGGGTCCTGGGAACCAAACTCAAGATTCTTTACAAGAGCAACATGTGCTCCACCATTGTGCTGTTGTATGGGTGGTGTTTTTTCCCCTGCATATACATCTGTATACCATATGGTGCCCTTGCATGCCATAAGAGGGTGTTGGATCCCCCGGGAGTTAGTTGAAAGCCAACCTTGGGGGTGCTGGGCATTGAGCCAGGGTCCTCTGGAAGAGCAGCCAATGCTCTAACCCCATCCTACAACTCTTCAGATATGTATGGTAGGGGCCAGTTAGAGCCCATGACCTTGGTTCTCCATTTCCCTCAGCTTTGTGGAAAAGGACCATGTATATGGACAGCTGCCTGAGGACTCTCAGAGCCTGGCCCTTCTCTTCCCTGCTTGCTCTACCTAGGAGCAGGGCTTTGTATTGTGGCCGCTTCAATGCTGGCCATGTTTTGGCCTAGGTGTGGTTCTCAGCTTCCATGATGAGGGTCCTTGGTCTTGTAGATAACAGGGCTCCCTTTCACTTGATTTCCCCTCCCCCAGTGCTGGGAGGGACCCTCATGCATGACAGGCAAGTACTCTACCACTGAACCACACCCCTAGCTAGCCCGTTGTATTTTTTTAAGATCGTCTCACTAAGTTGGCCAGGCTGGTCTTGGCAGGTCTTGAACTTACAGTCCTGAGCAGCTGGGCTGGCAGGCCTATACCCCCATACTCACTCATCCACAGTTGGGGGCAGGGAGCTGCTTTGGTTAGAAAGCCTGCCAGGGTTGCCTCAAAGTGTCCCTATGTTTCTCAGGCAGCTGCTGAAGGACCCACAGGTGCTGTTTGCCGGCTACAAAGTCCCTCACCCCTTGGAGCACAAGATCATCATTCGTGTGCAGACCACCCCCGACTACAGTCCCCAGGAGGCCTTCACCAACGCCATCACAGACCTCAT